GGATAATTCCGCTCGGCCATGCATCGGTCACGAGTGACCATGACCAACTCCATGCGACTATGGTTTGGTCACAAATCGATTTCCACGTAACTATGTGATAATCGAGGGTCAATCATGGGTTGTAATGAATTTACATGGATCAATTGTGAACCGCCCATGGAATCTTGTAGTGATTTGGAATAGGCCATGGATGAGCCATGAACCGGGTCAAAGGCCTTGTCGCTCGGCTCTAAGCCAAGCCCTGTGCCTGGCCATGTGACAGTTCATGTGCCGGTCGAACTAGGCCACGGACCGACCAAAGGCCTTGCCGCTCGGTCACGAGCTGGCCGTATCCTCATCCATGTGCCTAGTTCTAGAACCGATCAGGACTAGGCCATGAGCTAAGCTTTGTGCCGGCCGTGAATTAGCCTTGTACCTATCAATGTGTCTAACATCTATGCCAGGTCGTGTGCCTATCAGCTCTAGCCAAAACTTGGTCTAGTACTGATCAGGATTGGCCATGGGCCATGCATTATGCTCAGTCATGTGCTAATGCATGTGCTTGACCATGCAATCGCCCCTCGCTTATGCAGATTGGCCCCGCACCTATTCATCTCCCGGCATAGGGTCCATGTAGGCCGACTGAGTGCCGACTTAGCGCCAGTTCAGCCCGACCCTATGGTCGGTCAGACCCGACCAGACAGGCTTCACGCCTGGACAATCCGACTGGCCTGAACTTGTGCTAATCAGCTCGGTTATTAGCACGGCTATGTTTGGTTATATTTGGACATATTTCTACATCGAACCTCAGTCCGAATAAGGTGGTCAATCGTTAATGGACACATAAAACTCTCATTTGCCTTAGCTTAGCTCACCTTTGCTAATGTAATATTAAGTTTAGGAGGTTTGTGCTTAATGAAAAAAGTGAGTCATAAGTTAGTTATCCTTAGTGAATGATTGAGTCTCCTTGAAAGGCAAGAACAAGTGTCACATGCCCCAAACTTGGGGAATAAGAAGCTAAGAATACCAAGTCAAACTTAGGTCAATAAATGGAGGCTAATCATTAAAAAAAGATCTTATCTTCTAAGTTTAGTTATCCTTACCAAATAATTGAGTGTTCTTGAGAGTTCTAGAGGGGACAAGACATGCCACACGCCCAAGAAGCTTGGAGAACAGGAAGAATTGGAGACCAAGTCAATGAAAATTATTGGAGAGTCATCATTAGAAACTTAGTTGTCTTCTAGCCATTAATGAAGAAGATGATTCATACACCCTAAACTCAGGGCATGATGACTCTAATGAGAGGTTTGGAGAGCAAGTAAGACACAAGTAAGACAAGTGAGCCAACAATAATTAGGCGTAAGATCTTGCAAGATTTCCCTACCCTTTTTAGGCACCAACTTATAGCCAATAATTGATCCATTTAGCAACATCATCATTGAGGCTTGGGCTATAAATAGGAGGGGTCATTGTCCCTTTCTCTTCTTTCCTTCAATCGTGCACACTATTCCTCTTCCTATCACCCCCTCAGCCACTCTCAAATCCGCACACTTGCCATCACTAATCACCCCTTTTAGGAATACCCCTTGACACTAGTAGTAAGTGAATTCCCTACTTCTCGGCTAGGGTGTTGTGTTGCATAGTGTGCTTGAGTGATGACCTTACTTGTCGTTACTTGTGTTGCATGAGTGTTGTCTATTTTTGCATGATGGCCGTGAGTCGAGGCACAATCGGGCCACGAAACGGGGCACCGCATGGACTTGTACGCATGTAAGGGTGTGATAGACCAAGTCTGGCTTGGTTGTGAGTTGATATTGAGGCATATAGACCCGGGCCAAGCTCGGCTCCAAGTCGGCGCTTGGTGTGGCGGATCAAGCCACGAGCCCTAAACTGTGTCTAGCATTCTAGTTGTTTATATACGTATCATAAGTCATTCACTACATGAGCACGGCACGCCTTCGGGCCTTGAATGCATGGACAACTGATAATAAGATAATAAACCGGATTGTTTGATGCTTGTTGCATGATCACACAAGGGACTAAAGCTGTCACCGATTGATTTCGGGATGCTGCCCAATGGATTTCGGATGCCCGGTGAATTCCGGAAAAATCGATGGGTTCGGTTAAGAATAAATTAGTCCCGTGTGTTGATTCTTGCGTGCAACGTTTAAATACCATGCTTGATATCCTCTTGGTTGATGCGTGTGTCATGTATAACGCATAAGCAAGGTAAGATGCATCTTTGCTATTGATCTGCCATCAATAAATGAAGCGGTAATGGTTGATCTCTTGTTCAAAGACGAAACATCCTCCTAACTAGAGTTTAGTGAATTTACTTACTGAGTTGTGACTCACTCCTTATTTTTTTACAGATTTGAAGGTATGATTACGCCATCTCCGATTTATCATGGGCTTCCTATAGATATGCATGTGTCCATAACTAATATAGTAGATGTAGAGTCGGAAGTCACATATCGTAAGTTCACCACCACGATTTGGGTGCAAGAGGACACCAACAACCTAGTCCCCCATCATTACAAGACTTGGTTTGTTTGGTTTGACGGAGACTTGCTTGGACCCCTTCCCGGGTTTGGCAAACCACCTGGGGCCGCAATGATGCCGTGCCCAAGGGGACCACGGCCAGGCCGTAGATAGCCAACCAAGCTTGAGGAGGACTACTTTTGTGTTTTGTAAAGGGAACCGCGGTAGAGAAGCTAGGTGGGATAAGGACACCATAAGTGCATTAACTTTTGTACGACGCTCACTTGAGTACCATAACTTTCAAAAATAGATCACTTGAGTGCCATTTGCCACTTGGCAGCCGAAAAATCCGACGTGGCTTCACCGAAGTTGACATGGATAATTTTTTAATATTTTTTTGTAATTTTTTTTTTCAATGCTAGCAAGGGTCACTGGCGACCCTCGTCGGCTATGAAGGCCTCGCTCGTAACCACGAAAGCCCGCAGCAAGGTCATTGCGACCTCGCTGGCCGAGGGCGAGACGGTAAAGGCTCTCACCAGATCTGGCAAGGCCGCCTTGCTAGAGACCGACTTGCTAGCGACCGCAAAAGCCCACGGCATGGCCATTGCTGCCTTGCCAGCAGCCGCAAAAGCCCTTGGCGAGGCCATCACTGCCTCGCCGGCTGCGAGCGAGGCGGCGAAAGCTCTCGCCAGCCGGCGAGGTCATCGTGGCCAGCGAGGTCGCGATGACCTCGCCGCGGGCTTTCGCAGCCGCGGGCAAAGAGGCCCTTGCCCACTCTAGGCGAGGCCTTCCTAGCCAGCGAGGGTCGCCGGTGACCCTTGCCAGCATTGAAAAAAAAAATTTGAAAAAAAAAATATTAATAAAAAATATTAAAAATTCAAAAAAATCAATAAAATAAAATAAAATAACATTAAAAAAAGCCACGTAGGATGATTTGCCGGAAGTGGCACTCAATTGATCTTTTTTTTTCGAAATTGACACTCAAGTGAGCCAAAAAAAAGTTATGGCACTCAAGTGAGCGCCGTACAAAAGTTAAGGCACTTCTGGTGTCCTTATCCTGAAGCTAGGACTACCCCGACCACATGGATAGTATGTAGGACACTGGATGCAATCCAGATGTAAATGAGAAAGAAAGGCCTGTGGCGGAAGGGCTTGTAACATAAGCACGTATCATGTAAATTAGTAGTGTGCTTGTAAAACATGTTTCCTAGCTCATGTTGTTGTTGTTGTTATTGTTGTTAGGTGTTGAGTGTAAATGCTCCCGCTTGTTCATAACGAAAGATAAAGAGAATGGGACATCGCAATAATAACCCCGAAGCGAGGATGATCATGACTTTGGAACGGGTCGGGGCCAAGTGCCACGATCTTGGTTCAGGTCATGACGGATTTGGTATGTGTCGGGTCAGGTATGAATCACTAGATGTGCATTGCATAGAAATTGGTCAAAACAGGTTAAATGGGTCTATTTGAATTAAGCCATTTTCGACCTGACCCACCCGTTTGATGGATGTAATTATAAGTAAGTTGATAACAAAATAATGAGTTTATATATGTCAAGTCCAATAACAGAGTATTGCCCGCATTGGTCTCTCGAAATGATAATTTTAACTCTATTTAATTTATCGAGGTAATAGTTTATCATTAACTTTACAGGTTTATAATTTTTTGTGAAATGAAAATTATCTTGAGGCAAATGTGTCATGGAATGCAAGTTCGAAATTTTTTGTGATAAGAAAATTAATATCGTATAAATGTGGCATGGGATACCAATTTGGCATTTTAATGGTATTAGTGGGAGAAAAAATCAAATAACATATCTAGCATCATGTTTATAGCAATAGAGATTTATATTGGCACAATCCTAGTTATTGTTCAAAATGGAGAAACATATAAACAACCTAGGGAAGTTACTATTCTAGTAATCGCCCTCAAGTTGGTGCGTGAAAATGGACGATGCCTATTACTTCTTAATGGCAACGTCAAAAGATTCGTGAGTTACTCAAAGAAATTATCGAAAATATATTGTCTTCTTTAGCTACTAAATCAAAGTGTTACTCACTGTGACAGTGCATTATATGTGTATTGCACTTAATACCCTCCCAAACCTTAGATGATATGGATTTCAAGTGGAGTTCATCAAACATAAGGAGAATGTATCTTCCATAGTAGTTCCTTCCAAGCTGACCGGTCAGTGCAACTCAACACAATCATCCTTCCACATACTAAACAAAGATAAGGAAAGAGAATGATAAGCTGAATACCTAACACATATTTTATCCATATGATAACACAAAACATCAAAGTTGGGCAAGTCTCTCCAGCTCTCGACTTTTCTGTTATATATGCCAAATATAATCAATAATGGCGTCGACCTAGATAAGATGCAAGTAATCGGTTAGCAGGAAGACGGCCAGTTTTACGTGCTAAACAAGCTCCTTTTCCCGTCGTCGAAATGTTCTCTTGAACCAAAGCATGGCGATCATCGTTGTCATTGAGAATTTCTTGATGGCCCTGTCCATCGCTTGAAAGTTAAAAACCCTCTAAGATTGCTTGAAGTGCAAGAAGCTGCAGAATCCCAGAAATTCGATTGTAAAACCCGGTCCCAAACGTGCAATGAAACAATTGCGGATGTCCAAATTGCCTTCACTAAGCTTATCTCCACTCGAATTATCACCGTCAATACCAGATGGCTTATCTCCTGGACAAATCTTGGAAAGAAGAGCTCCACAGAGTTCGTTGTTGCCGCGATAAACAGATTCATCATCCATTGTGCGCAAATGGTTGCCAGATGGAATAGGACCGGAGAGTCTATTGAAGGACAGATTCAAATGACTAATGGAGTCAATGTTGGATATGCTCGAAGGGATGGTACCCGACAATTTATTTCTGGAAAGATCAAGAGATTTCAAGTTTTTCAGGTCACCAATGTTTGAGGGGATGTGTCCACTCAAATTATTTTGAGAGAGGTTCAAATTTTGAAGTTGGACGAGCCTAGTTAACTCTTCTGGTATCTGCCCATCCAACATGTTCGCAAAGAGATCAATTGAGATGAAGTACCAAAGCGTCCCATCATATATTCGGCTGATTCCCTTTATGGTAGCAATAACATCGACAAGGGAAATAAATACTGGACCTGACACATCATCAACCATAGCTAAGAGCCCGTCAATACAATTAGGAATGGATCCAGATATGTAATTCTGTGCTAGGCTCAAGAAACGGAGACTGCGAAGTTGGCAAAATTGTGAAGGAATGCCTCTAACAAAGCTATTTTTCTCTAAATTGATCACTTGCAGTGATTGAGAATGTTTCCCAAATATAGGTAACCTACCCGTGAATTTATTGTCGCTGAGATCAAGCATCACCATACTCTGTGAATTTGACAAATAGTTTGGGATTACTCCACTAAAACCATTCCTCCGTAGGCTAAGAGCGAATAATTGTTGACAATGGCACAGAGATTTCGGAATCTGGCCATTTAACTTGTTTTCCCCAAATGCAAACGGTCCCAACGGTTGCGATGCTCTCCAACATTGAGGAAGCCTCCCAGACAGTTGATTCTTTGAAAGATCAATGACATTTAGCTTCTTTAACTTACACAAAGAACTTGGTATGCCACCGGTGAGATTATCACCCAAAAATCTCAACATTACTAACCGTGGCATCTTGTCTCCAATATCTTGAGGAACTTGGCTTCTAAGCATGTTGCTTGAGACATCCAAATATTTAATGTTAGAGGAAATGTCATAGAGCCAATCATGAATGTCAGCTGAGATGCTTGTGTCACGGGTCGATCGATCTAGCGTTCCCACACCTGTGCGGCCTTAGGAATTTCTCCCCAAGTAAGCCTTCCCACACTCACAATCACAAGAAATTTAGAGAGAGAAACTCTAGAGAGAGAAGCTTTGAACTTTGTATTGCTTCTTGGAAATGAGAGATGATAAAATAAGGGGGAAGAGACCCCATTATATACAAGTATCGGGCTGACCGTATCTGTAGATCTCTTCCCGATCTCAACGGTTGAGATCGTACTCCCCCAACTACCCCACCTACCGCATTTATTACGGAAGGGTACAATTACGGTATCGCCCGCCCCCAGGAGTATTCTAGAAGACATCAAGAAAACCCTGGTACTAGAACACTCGGGGCCCGCCTTTCTCGTCCAAGGGTCGGTCACGGTCCATCGTCCAGAAAACCTCAAGAACGATCCAATTCTTCGGGCTGTGAAATTCTCCCCTACCTATTCGGGCGACGCCCTCGTCGCGTCTTTGGCATGGAAAGCATCGATATGTTTCTTGAATTGCCAAAGAGCTTCCTCGGGCTCCCAACTTGCTTCACTCTCCGTATGACTCGATCAAGTATTCTCGCTTCGGCACACGATATCTCTTCCGTATGACTCGCGCCAAGTCCGCCTACTCATGCCATTCCTTGGCGAACTTGAAAGAGGATGGGCTACTCCCTTTATAGCCAGTTGCAATTGTACTTGGAGTGAGTGGTTGTTGTCCCGTCGCGATCTCGAACGGACTTTGGTTCGTGGACTCGCTCTTTTGAAGATTGTAGGAGAATTGGGCTACATCGATCAACTTTGCCCAATTCACTTATGTCGTACTTACATAGTGTCGGAGGTACAACTCCAAGAGTGCATTGACTCACTCCGTTTGTCCATCGGTTTGGGGATGTAAACTCGTGGAGAAGTTGAGATTTGACCCTAATAATTTAAAGAGTTGAGTCCAGAACCTACCCGTGAATCGAGGGTCGCGATCGCTCACGATCGTTTGTGGCACTCCCCAATATTTGACGACATGCTTCAAGAATAGCTTGGCTGCCTCCTCGGCCGGACAATCTTTCGATGCGGGCGCGAACGTCGCGTACTTGGAAAATCGATCCACCACGACCATAAGAGTTCGACACCCTTCGGACTTTGGCAAGTTGACAATGAAGTTCATGGTGACACTCTCCCATGGACGCTCCGGGATGGGAAGTGGCTCCAAAAGCCCTACCGACGACCTTTGTTCAAGCTTGTCTTATTGGCATACAAGACATGTCCGTACATATGCCTCAACGTCGTCACGCAAGTGAGGCCAAAAGTATCGATCCTCCACAAGCGCCATAGTGCGGTGGATCCCCAGATGACCCGCCCACTTGGAATCATGGCACTCTCGTAGGATTTCCTTCCTTAGCTTCCCATGGAGGGGCACGTACAGCCGTCGTCCCTTGGTGTAAAGCAAGTCGTCTTCACAACAAAATTGCCGGGTCTTGCCTTCCCGAGCATGGTCGAGGAGTGCCTTGGCGGTTGGATCATGTTTGAGCCCTTCCTTGATCCGCTCGTTCCATGGATTCTCGGGACGAGTTAAGGTCGACGCCAACCCCGCCTTTCGACTAAGAGCGTCGGCCACGGAGTTCGCCTTCCCAGGCTTGTACTCAAACACATAATCGAACTCCGCCAGGAAATCTTGCCAACGAGCTTGCTTTAGGCTTAACTTCTTTTGGGTTTGGAAGTAGCTCGTGGCCACATTGTCCGTCCTTACGACGAACAAGGATCCCAAGAGATAATGCCTCCATGTACGAAGGCAATGCACCACCGTGGTCATCTCCTTCTCTTGGGCCGTGTATCATCGTTCGGTATCGTTCAACTTTCTCGACTCGAATGCTACCGGATGTCCATCCTGCATAAGAACACCACCAATAGCAAAATCGAAAGCATCGGTCTCTACCTCGTAAGGTTTGGCGTGATCGGGTAGCACGAGCACCGGCTCCTCGATCATGATTTGCTTCAACCGATCAAACGCCCTTTGGCATTGGGCCGTCCACTCCCACGGTTTCTCCTTCTTCAACATATCAGTGAGTGGCACGGTGATGCTCGAATATCCTCGAATGAACCGTCGATAATAGTTGGTAAGGCCAAGGAATGACCTTAGATCCGTCACTTTGGTCGGCGGCTCCCAATCTACAATGGCCTTAATCTTGGCCACGGCCATCCGCACACGTCCACCCCCGACGATATGTCCCAGGAATGGAACTTCCCGTTGTGCAAAGGCACATTTGTCCCGCTTGACATATAAGTCATTCTCCCGTAGAACTCGGAAGACGTGTTTGAGATGCTCAATATGTTCCTCGAGCGTCCGGCTATACACCACGATATCATCAAGATAAATCACTACAAATTGATCTAGGAACGGGCGGAGTACCTTGTTCATGAGTGTGCAAAATGTGGCCGGAGCATTTGTCAAGTCGAATGGCATGACGAGGAACTCGTATGACCCATACTGCGTTACACAAGCAGTCTTTGGCTCATCCCCTTTTGCAATCCACACTTGATAGTATCTAGATCGAAGATCAAGCTTGGCGAACCATCATGCTCCTCCAAGTTGATCGAACAAGTCAGCAATGAGAGGGATCGGGTACTTGTTCTTGATCGTCAGCTTATTTAATGCCCGATAGTCGATGCACATCCGGAGTGATCCATCGTGCTTCATTTGGAATAAAACCGGGGCACCAAATAGAGCCTTCGATGGTCGGATATACCCACATCGAGCAACTCCTTGAGTTGTCTTCTTAGTTCCTTCAACTCGGGAGGCGCCATGCGGTAGGGTGCCATGGCGGGTGGTCGAGCGTCGGGCACGAGCTCTATTTTATGATCCACCTCCCTTTGACGCGGAAGCTTCTTCGGGAGTTCGGGGGGCATCACATCCTTGAAAGAGTCGAGGACTCGGGTTACTTCCGCCGGGACATCAGTCCCTTCATCCTTTGGATCCTCAACCTTCAAAGTTGCCAAGAAAGTAGCTTACCCTTTCCTTGCTCCCTTAGTAACTTGCATTGCCGATATTATCTTTTGGTCACGACCCGACTCTCGGTTGACCGGGATCACACATTGACAACGTGCGTCTAAGATACAAATACAATCGGCAAATGGGACAATAAGAGCATCTATTCTATCAAGGAATCCCAAGCCAATGACAAAGTCATAATCGTCAAGTGGAATTACCTCGATCGTCTCTTTGCTCTTCCATTGTCCGAGTTGGAACTCCACATCCTTAGCCAACCCGTTGGTAGGGACTTCCTTGGAGTTCACCGTCTTGAGCCAACCAACCCCCTTCTCAACCCAAAGATTGAGTTTCTTTGCGGCTTCTTCTGAGATAAATAGATCGAATGCCCCCGTATCGACGAGTGCACTCATCGCAGTTCTTCCGATCGTCACGTCCGCGAACATCAAGCCCTTAGGCTTATTTGCCTTCTTGGACTTTATGGAACTTAGGATTCGCAACGAACCGAGTCGCGTCCCCTCTCGTTCCTCATCGTGTGCCTTGACAAGCGTCGCTAGCTTGCCCCGAGTTGGGCAATCACGAGCCATGTGCGCACTGTCGCAAGAGAAACACTTGAAGATACGTCCCTTCTTGTGTTCTCCTCCGCTCAACTCCATCCTCGCCCTTGGAGGGGCCATTGGTAGCTTGCTTCCACCTGGGCGATGGAATTTGTTACGATCTCCCCCACCAATGCCCTTGTCCCTCGGTCGAGTGTCCGGCTTGCTTACGAGAGTCGATTTGTACTCCACCAAGGCCTCGACCACGGACATGGCCGTTGAAAGGTCTTTCGCGTTGCATCGCTTTAACTCTTGCTTAACCCATGGTTTCAAGCTACCCATGAATTGGTGGTAGGCCTCCGTATCATTCATGGACGGAATTTGGAGTAGCAACTCCAAGAACTTCCGAACATAATCACAGACTCCTCCTTTTTGCTCAAGGCGACGGAGTTCATCTCGAGCTTCTTCCTCCGCATAAGCGGAATAGTATTGTCGTCGGAATTCCTTGACGAACAATTCCCATGTAGTGATCGGTTCACCACTCTGATCATCACTCCTACGACGCCACCATAAGAGTACATTATTAGACAAGTACATAGCTATGGTACTTACCCGAATCGCCCCGTCGGTGATCCCCATTGCTAGGAAGTACTGCTCCATGTACCATAGAAAGTTGTCCACATCGTTGGCCACCCGTGAGCCTTTGAACTCCTTTGGCTTCGGGGCGTCCACTCGTGGACTGGCTTGCATGGTGATCACCCGGTCACGCGTGCTCCTTCCATTTCGGCGAATTTCGCCTTAAGTTCGGCCATCTCCGCGTGCATAGCCTCCACCAAGGCCTCCAAGGCATCGTCCCGTTGCTGAAGTTCATTGGTTGTGTCGGTCAGGTTGCCCAGCATCTCCCCTCGAAGTTCTCTGAACCCGGATTTGACCTCCAGCACCTCGGCCTCAAGCTCGCCCATTTCGGTCTCGCCTCCTTCGATGCGTGCGGACATATCCTCGACCATTCCTTGGACATCTGCCATGGCGATCTCCACTTTCTCCATGCGGGTCTCCAAGTCACCAACCATATCTCTTGAACTTGAGCTAGCACGGTCCTTCTTTGCCTTGGCGCCTTGCTTCTCGGGAGCCCTCTCACGATCATCACCTCCACCCTTTTCAGTTTGGGACGATACATCGGATCGTGGTTCCATCGCGCCTTTGCCCATCGTTGCTCTGATACCACTTGTCACGGGTAGATCGATCTAGCATTCCTACACCCGTGCGGCCTTAGGAATTTCTCCCCAAGTAAGCCTTCCCACACTTACACTCACAAGAACTTTAGAGAGAGAAACTCTAGAGAGAGAAGCT